CAGGTCACTCGACGGCACATGACAACAACAGCAGAACTAAACAGCTGTTCTTCTTGCGTCGTCTGTATGACGTTCCTCTCTGATGCACCGTGTATTGAATGTTTCAGGAACCAATGGTCCTGGAGGATGTATTCCTGGTCTTCAGCCAGGAGGAGTGGACCTTGCTGGATGACGCTCAGAAGACTCTGTACAGCGACGTCACGTTGGAAACCTTGACCCACCTGGATGCCGTCGGTAAGAACGGCTCTCTCTGGGTTTTGCAGGCTTCAATTTAATATGTAATCGCTCATGTCACGGTAGCTTTAGGAACGTCGCAGACGTGGCATTTTGTCAACTTGTTGGCTGTAAGTTTAATCTGTTTATTTTATTGCCTGTAAATGCATTTTTGTCGGCTGTCAGACGTGATAATGATTGACAACGAAATGATTGACTTCCTGGGGAGGAAGTGTTCATTTTTATTCCCATGTTAGGGACACAGTTTATTTATCTGACACATTTTTTTTTCTCAGTCTGTGGTCTGATTGCAGTGAAAATAGACTTGACTTGATTCCGTCCACCATGAAGGAACAGGTTCATGAAAGCTCTCTCCAGTCTGGACAGAATTCCATTACTAATTGGTCCGCAAGAGAAAAATCTCTCCTCTTGCGTTGAAGATTGAACTTTACAATCCGTGCAGTGACTTTTCCGCTTTAGCTTTTCTGGCTTGGAGTCTTTTCCTTGTTTTTATGCTTTTTGTGCCTAAAATCCAACACTTCAGGATGTGTTGTTGTTGTTTTGTGCTAAATTTGGGCCTCTACTTCCTAATCAAGGCTATTGATGTGATTATACCGCCTTGCAAAATCTCACAGAGGTGTTACCTAGTGACTCATTCCTTTCCCGGTTGCCGGAGGAATGAAGCCGCCAACCTGTGTCCGACCGTCTCTCTGTTTGTACAGCAGCCGCCTTCTGCCCGACCCTTGCCTAACTTTCTCTTTTCATGTCCTGACACTTGACCTCGGCGGCGGCGGCATCAGTGATTGACAGCATCGAGGACCGGCACACCTCAGCCAGCAGATGCGTGTTGAAATTCCGAAAGCCTTTCCACGCTGTGTCCTCCCTGGCAGAAGCAGCCTCCCTTGTGCCTCATGAGTTGGAGAAATATTGCAGGTCAGTATTCTGCAAGTAAAAAAAAACTACCCCGGGGAGAAAGACATCAGATGTCAAGACAATAAATTGCACCTCTCTGTGTGTATGCGCTTGGACCAGGTTTCTTTTTGTTTTCCCCATAAACAGTTAAAATTTTATTTATAGCCGAATCAACCACGCACAGAAATTTTATAAAAATCAGTGTGACTTTAATTCCAAAAGAGGAACTGGTAGTGGAAATTGTTCTTGCTAACTTGTTTTACTTAGAGTGACAAAAGAAATTCAGATGGTCTCCCAGGTTTGGATTCCTTTGAAATAGTTCAGAAATTACGCAGGGTGTTGTGTCGGAAGTATTCTTGTGCCGTGTTTTTGTGGGGAAGTAATCTGTTATGATCGGTCACGGCGATACTTGATCAGTTCTTCACAGTATAGATCCAAGTCCCTCATGGATTCCAAAGGTTCAGGACATCCCGTCCTCCATTGGTCTTGGATGTTGTTGCGGGCTGACTCACCGATTGCGAGTTTCTCGAGACACAAATGTCCATTCACGGGCGCTCTGGTGGCGTAGCGGTAAGACACGGCGCTACCATGCCAGCAAAGGCTCGCGGTCAGCTGCTCCCGGACAGACAGATCGGCCGTGTCCTCGATGCCTTTGCAAACCCCCTGCACGGCGGTGTCTGTCAGGAGCCCATTGCAACTGCATTCCAACAACAGCGTGGATCCGGGCACTTGGTTCTTGTGTCCCCGCCATTCGTGGGTTTTTTTATAAACTCAGACGGAACGCGACGTGGACAGACATTTGAAGTGCGTGTTCCGAGTGTGTTGACCTTTGGGGAGGAGATTGCACGTCCTTCTCCAGCACAGCACCTGTGGGATTCAAACGGCTCACCTGTGGGATTGCAGTGCACCTTCTTGCCACCAGGCCCCCAGAGCTGGGCGTGTGTTTATCGTTGGACAAAAGTCATCCGACCCTCTTCGATGTTATCCAAGCCGTGCCTGTTAACAGTAGTATTTCTCCTCGACGTTTGAAGACGGGAAACCTGACACAGTGCTGGGCAAAACACAACTCTGCTCGTTGACTTTGTTGTCCCGGGGAGGTGAGGGCCGATAAAGATGGAATTTTTTTTCACTACATGCTGAGTAATATTTTTTTTTCTCCCAAAGTCATACATGAGGGGATCTGTGAAAATACAGACGGGAATCCCTTTTGCATAATCTTGAGCCCGTAGTATCCCAGGCTTGACGTGCTCAAACACAGTTGTCCCGCATTCAGTCTTTTTTTCCAGTTTTAAGGCCATGTCTCGAGCTGTCCTTGTGGAACTCTTGTAGCCGTTGTCCTGGGTGGTGTCGTGTGATTCAAAGCAAGGAATGGTCCCTGTGACTGCTCTAAATCGAATCTCCTGGGTTGTGAGGTGTGAGGGAAGGAGTCTTGTGTCTGCACGTAGCCTGTCAGTTTTGTTGTCCACGTACACACGTGAGACAACTTAATTGGGTGAATGTTTGCATTAATCTCTCACGCTTTTCTTCACGTGTCCGCAGCCAGCAGCAGGCGTTCAGAGAAGCTTCTGAAACCCGTCAGCCTCCTTCATCGTCCATCCTGCGTCCAGCTTTGCACAACCACCCTGCGAAGACGCCCGGCCACGCACCCAAGGATCATGGTGTCCGCGCGGGACCTTCTCTGTCTGAAGCAACGCCGTCTCCAGGTAGAGACAGACGTGAGGGAGGGACAGACGGTGTGACAGGCTGTCATCGTGCCCTGCCGCTCGGTGGGCCGCCTCCTTCGTCATCTGTGCTTTCCTGCGCAGCATTCCCGGACGGAGACGGGAGTTACGAACGCCTGCCCGAGCGGGACGGTGGTGTTTGCAAGGCCTTCCCGCCAGCGATGCAAACCCAGAGTCAGCGGCGCACTTTGGGGTGCACGGACTCTGGGCCAGCGTTCTCTGCCTCCTCCTCCTCCTCCTCTTCCTCTTCCACGTCGTCGTCTGTGGTCGGCCACCCTCCCGGAGACCGGCCGTACGGGTGTCCTGAGTGCGGCAAAAGGTTCCGGTTGAACTTGCACCTGACGGTGCACCTGCGAGGTCACACAGGTGAGCGTCCGTACAAGTGCAAGCACTGCCGGGCCGCGTTCGCCCACCCGGCGGCCCTGCGGCGGCACGTGCTGAACCACACGGTGGAGCGGCCGTTCAAGTGCCCGCTGTGCGGGGACGGCTTCCCCTACCGCTCGGGCCTCAGCAGGCACCTGCGCGTGCACAGCGGCCAGCGGCCCTACAAGTGCCGGCACTGCGCCAAGGCCTTCATCTACCCGTCGCTGCTGACCGTGCACACGCGCACGCACACCGGCGAGCGCCTCTACGCCTGCACGCGCTGCGGCAAGGCCTTCCTCCTGGCCTCGGCGCTCACGCGGCACACACGCACCCACACGGGCGAGCGGCCCTACGCCTGCACGCGCTGCGCCAAGCGCTTCGCCGACCTGTCCGGCCTCACCACGCACGCCCGCATCCACACCGGGGAGAGGCCCTACCGCTGCCGCCTGTGCGCCAAGGCCTTCACCGACCTGTCCGGCCTCACGCGCCACGCGCAGACGCACACGCGCGAGCGCCCCTACGCCTGCACGCACTGCGGCAAGGCCTTCGCGCAGTCCTCCACGCTCACCGTGCACCTCAAGACGCACGCACGCCGCAACACGCACGTGTGCACGCACTGCGGCAAGGCCTTCGGCCACGCCTCGGCCCTCGCCATGCACACGCGCGTGCACAGCCCGCACAGGCCCTACGCCTGCACGCACTGCGGCAAGGCCTTCGCGCACCACTCGGACGTGGCCAAGCACGCGCGCACGCACACCGGGGAGAGGCCCTACGCCTGCAAGCACTGCGGCAAGGCCTTCATCCAGGCCGCCCACCTCACCCAGCACACGCGCATCCACACCGGAGAGACCCCCTACCGCTGCCCCGAGTGCGGAAAGGCCTTCGGACGCGGCTCCGCCCTCAACAGGCACATCAAGACACACCCTCCTGAAAGCCCCTACCGCTGTCAGGCCTGCGGAAACACCTTCCTCGGCCTGGCCGCCTTCACCGGCCACCAGCGGGCCCACGCCAAGGACGCGCGCCCCTACGAGTGCAAGCAGTGCGGCAAGACCTTCAGGGGCGCCTCCGGACTCGTCCTGCACGTGCGCACGCACGCGCCCACCTCGCAGGCGCCCTACGAGTGTCAGCACTGCGGCCAGGCCTTCCTGCACGCCTCCCTGCTGACCCAGCACATGCGCACGCACACGGGGCAGACGCTGGACCCTGTGTCGGCCACGGGGCACACAGACGTCCTGCCGGCCCTCGCCTCCCAGACGACACGGGGCCGCCTGCCACGGGCGCCTGGCTCAATGCAACGCCTAGGAGGCCTCCTGGCCTCGCACGCCACTGTCCACCTGAGCTCGGACGCTGCAAACAGCGCATGAAAAGCTCCCCTTCCCTCTCCCACTCGACCTTCCTCTACGCGTCGCTGGCCGCACTCTCCAAAGACCTAGCAAGAGAAATCAGGTGCAAAAGCCAAGCTTTGGAAAGGGCTCTCATACGCCAGAGGGCCTTTGGAAATGGAAATAATGACTTAAAGGCTTGACTGCTCTCTCACTCTCTGTCTTTCTCTCTCTCTGTCTTGGATTCTCTCTGTCTCTCTCTCACACTGTCTTCTCTCTCTCCTCTCTTTCTGTCTGTCTGTCTCTGTGTCTTTGATTCTCTCTGTCTCTCTCTCTCCTGTCTCTTTCCTCTCTTCTCACTGTCTTCTGTCTCTCTCTCTGCCTCTGAGTCTCTCTGTCTCTCTCACACTGTCTTCTCTCTCTCTTTCTCGCTCGCTCTCTCTCTGTGCCTCTGAGTGTCTCTCTCTCCTTTCTCTCTCTCTGTGTCTCTCTGTATCTGAGTCTTCTCTGTGTCCTCTCTGTGTGTGTGTCTCTCTCCTTTCTCTCTCTCTTTGTGTCTCTCTCCTTTCTCTCCCCCCATTCCTCATTAGACACAGGTGGCCTCACTAGACGAGAAGCCTTATTAATTTGAATGATGTAGGAATTCTACTGTTGACGTGGGGTCTCGCCCTGGAGAGGTCCCCTTGAAATGTCCACAGTGTATGAATGGCTTTACTTGTCTCTCTCTGTGTCTCTCTCCATCATTCTCCCCCATCTCTCTCTCCACCTTCCTTCTCAGTAGACATAGGTGACCTCCCTCTTGAGAGAAGCCTTGTGAATAGAGATGAGGTGAGAGAAGCCGTCACGCCGGCGCTCACGCCTCACTTCACGTTGGAGAACACAGGGCTCCCCGTGGGTAAGCGATGTGGACAGCCACGTAGGCTCCCAGCTTCTAAAACCACACAGGGCAGAACTCACCGTCCAAAAGCTTCCCTTTCAGCCTCGTGACTGTCCCTTCCACACAACCAGTTACAAAACGCGCCTCCGGATACAAGACAGACGGGCTGGCTGATTGCAGAGCAGCACCTTCGTGAAGAGGTCAGTGAAGGGCTGTTGGACAGCACTGGGAAGATGGCCACTTTTGGTGAACGCCAAGCTGTGCTTAACGCTGCTCAACTTGACCTTCCTTGGCGGCTTTGGCCCGCAACAAGAAATCTGCTGTCGTTATTGCAAAATAAATGGCATTTCTCTTCTTTCCATGTTGTTCCTAACGCTATATTGTCTACCCTGAAAGGTTGACGCTCATCTTTTTAGTTCCTAGCACTGGGGTTGGTTTCCATAGTTCTTGACTCTCCTTCCACGCTTTCTTAGGACCCAGTTCCTTATTTTATCGTTTTAGTTTTCCTCTGTCACAGGCTATGAAACCTGTGCACGTATTCTGTTTTATCTTCTAATCGCTCCTTTCTCATTCTTTTGTAACCCACGCATGGCACTTAGAATGTTTATCGTAACCGTGTTCACCAACTTGTATTTTCTGCAACCCTTCCTCTGTACAATAAATAGAATTCTCGACCAGGAATACAAATTCTCTTCCTTTGGTGTGCTTCTTGAGCTGTTCCAAACCGTCTTCATCGTGCGTGTCCGATTGTGCATCATTTAGGATTGTCTGTCTGTAACATGAGTTTATCGAAGAATGCAGCACAGAAACGTATGCATCTGCACTATTGTTGTTAGGTGCCATCGAGTGCAGAAAGCCTCGTAGCGACCCTCTCCTGTCTTGCACCATCCCCACACTTGCTTCCACACAACAGCCCATTGCAGCGGTCACCGGGTCGGTCCACCTGGTCAAGGGTGGTCTTCTCCTTCGCCAACCGTCCACTCTTCCCTGCATCGTGTCCCTCTCCAAACAATAGCCTCCCCTCACAACATGCTCCAAGTACGTGAGACAACTTTCCCAATTCTCACTTGAAGAATTCCTCCTGGAAATCTTGCTTCCTGGCACTGGTGAAAAAAGAAATAACTTGCAGACAGAGATCTATATTTTCTTCTTTTTCTGGTGATTCCACGCAGGACCCAGGGAGATTTTACCCTGAGGAGTTCACAGGCTGTAAGAATCACCCAGGAACAGCTATAAAAATCACACAGGAAGAGATTTCTCATATTGCTTTTGTGAAGTCGCAGGTGGATTTGAACCTCTTGACTTTGGGTTGACAGGGCAACACGTTACCACACACTCACAGCTGACCCTGTGCATAGCACAGAAGGAGATTGCTCATACGTCCCTCTTAGAGCTACTGCGTGCATTTGAACCCTGCACCTGCTGCTTGCTAGTGCATCTCCTAATCACTAAGCTACCACAGTAGCATAGTGCCCCTGGGACCTTTAAACCTGAAAAAGGTTCTTAAATATATATCTGTGTGTTGACAAGAGGCTCTAGGGTGCCAAACGTGACGAGGACGAGGGCCCAGGGTAAGGGAGGTGTCAGATCTGATGTCTGCAGTGTTTCTCTGAGGCATAAGCTCTATTTCACTGCTTGTTGTTATTGTTATGTGCCGTCGAGTCGTTTGCGACTCGTAGCGACCATATGTACAACAGCCCTAAACTCTGCTCTGTCCTGTGCCAATCGCACTGTCTCTGACACACCCATCCCAATTACCCCAGTCACTGAATCAATCCACCTCATAGAGGGCCTTCCTCTCCTGCGCTGTCCCTCCACCCTCCCAAGCATGATGTCCCTCTCCAAGGACCGGTCTCTCCTCACTACATGTCCAAAGTATGTCAGACGAAGCCCCAGAATCCTTGCCTCCAAGGAGCAGCCTGCTTTAACCCTCTCCAGGACAAATCTGTTTGTTTTCCTAGCAGTCCATGGTACATTCAGTACTCTTCTCCAGCACCACAGCTCAAAAGCATCCACTCTCCTTCTATCCTCCCTAGTCATTGTCCAACTCTCTGATGCATAACAAGCGATTGCAAAAACCATGGCCTGTATCAGGCGCACCTTAGTCTCCAGAGAGACACCGTTGCTCCTGAGTACTTTAGAGAGGTCCCTAACAGCACACTTTCTGATCGCGATACGCTTTTTGATTTCCTGGCTGCTGGTGCCAAGAGTGTTGACTGTGGAGCTGAGCAAACTGAAGCTGTGAACAATCTCAATCTCTTCACCATCCATCCTGATGCTATCGATTGGTCCAGTGGTGAGAATTTTTTGTCTTCTTAACATTGAGCCTCAGTCCATATTGAAGGCTACACTCCTTGATCCTCTACGGTAAGTGCACCCAATGATAAATAATAGTGGAGGAAGACCCGTCAGCAACTTGCAGTTCACACAAACACAGCCTTGCTCCCTAAAGCAAGGGAAAGGGAGCGCTTGAAGCCTGGGTCGGCCTCGTGCAGTCCATCTTAGATGGTTTGACATCTAAAAAAGGGACTGTTGTGATTATGTGCCGTTGAGTCGCTTGCAAACCTATGAACAGCAGCTCTAGACCCTGCTCTGTCTTGTGCCAGTCTTACGGTCTCAGATAAAGACCCCATGATCCCAGTGACAGATTCAATCCATCACATCAATGGTCTTCCTCTCTTGGCCTGTTCCTCTACCCTCCCAAGCATGACGTCCCTTTCCAAGAACTGGTCCCTTCTGCCCGCATGCCCAAAAGTAGGTCAAATGAAGCTTCAGAATCCTTGCCTCCAAGGAGCAGCCTGGTGTCTCTCTCTCTGGGACAAACCGGTTTGTTCTAGCAGTCTATGGTATTTTCAGTCCTCTTGTCCAGCACCACAGCTCAAAGGCATCAATGCATTTAGCATCCCTAGTCATTTTGCAACTTTGTAAGGCGTAGTAACGTCAAAGACTGTAGCCTGGATTAAGCGCACCTGTCTCCAGACTGCCATTTTGGAGAAGTCCCTGACAATAGACTTTCTCAAGGCAGTTTTGTCTTTTTAATTCCCCGACTGCTTGGTCCCAAGAGTGTTGATTGTGGATCCAAGCCAAATACATTTATCAAAATGGAAAAACCCCTACGTACGTGTTTCTTCCATGCAGACAATCAAGTAAGTGTCCCATGGGAATTGACTGCTGATTAGGTTTTGTACAAACTGCAAGAATAACGTGAACTCCCATGGAATTTTCACTCCGTACGTTATTCATCATCTATTCTAGACCTCCGTCGTCAGCCGTTACATAGTGAGTGGAAGAGAGGTAACAATCTTTCAAGTGTTCTTTGGGATAACACTAAGCCTTCTCTGTTGTGAATGTTGGTGTCTCTCATTGTACACCACCTTCTGAATTCACCTTCCCCTTAGGCAACTTTT